TTAATTTGTTTAATGAAATATGGTGGCAGAGCCACTTCGGGTTAAGCACCGTTTCTATCAACTAAAAATAATTTTGCAATATTAATGGAATATTGAGGGCCAAAATGTTCTATTTCAAAAGTTGGGGACTAACTCTCTATTTACATATATAAACTCTACCATGCAGCATATTACTTTACAGAAGATGGCAAGCTCTTTATGTATTACTGCAACAGCTTCTTTATAGAAGATGGCAAGCTCTTTATGTATTACTGCAACAGCTTCTTTATAGAAGATGGCAAGCTCTTTATGTATTACTGCAACAGCTTCTTTATAGAAGATGGCAAGCTCTTTATGTATTACTGCAACAGCTTCTTTATAGAAGATGGCAAGCTCTTTATGTATGTTTTCTGTTCTTTCAGTAATCAAGATATATCATTTTTAAAATCCTTATTGCACCTTCCCAACAATTATCTTTTAACAGATCCTTCATCATTTATGATCTATTTGTTTAAATAAAATAACAAAACGGGGCAAAGAAAGAAATTGTAATAAAATCTGAATAGATATAGAAAGAATCTATGAGATTTTCTCCCTTCTCCCAACCCCGCACCCTTACCCCAACACACACATTCTCTGAATATAAAAATAAATAAATAAATAAATAAAATTAGCATGTGCAATTTTACTTCCTAGCCAAAACCATCAAACTCAAATCAACTATATTTCTAGCACTCACCCAACACCTTTTCTCATTAACAAAATGGAAAGGGAAAAAAGGAAAAGAAAAGAAAATGCTTAAAACACTTGCAAGTGGACCCTCATCAGTCAATAAAGAAAACTCTAGACAAGTAGGTTACAGAAGATCAATACAATTTCAAGAAGGTTCTCTCTAATTCTTTTATAATCAGGGCCAATTCAATTTCAATCAGCAGAAGTGTACGCCTCATAAAGGTTTTTCCTGAGGTGCACTGCTGGAAGGGATATTTTTAAACCAGGGAAGGTGCACAATGCACATACACTTCTTGGGTTTCTGGAGCATCTTATATTTCGTTGGACATGATTGTTGGTAAAGTCAAGAACCTTAGTTTTACAAAAGGTCTTATAACCTTATGAGTCTTCATTGGTTTTCCAGATAAAAGTTATGCTTTCCAAATAGAAGTTAACAGAGTGAATGATAGTACCCCAGAGATTTTCCACTTCATAAATAATAACTAGTTACTTCATTGAGGTAACAAATACAGGAACCAAGTAAGATTTTGCCACCAATGGTACAATGTCAAAACTGATTGCTTCTATAATTGTATATACAGTCCAAATTTATTTTTATAATATTTCAGGTAAATTTCTGGAAATTTTGAAAATAAAATTCACTATCAAGTCCAGCCATGTCTAAGTATATATAACACTCAATATATACTTATAGAGTCATGTTTTTGCAATTAGTAATGTCCCTCGCACTTCACCGTTTCAACATTTGGATACTTCTACTTAGTTGTGTGCAGTCCAAATGACCAAAACAATAAAGAAAATGAGAAGCCTAACAAGTGAATGAGA